ACACACACACACACACTGCCGCACTCTTTCTAGCGCACGAACACCAACTGTTTCTCTGTGTGTGTGTCCCATTTTGATTTGTCTCGTTACTTTCCCATGCCTGTTATTTCCATTACCGCGCCGCTCATTCCGTATTTTATCAGTACAGTTGTGGTTTTGTTTTCGTAGAGCTGAATGACGTTTCCTTTTTTTTCTACTCTGTGAGCATCCAGTTCCTTTTGGCTAATCTCACCAACAGACAACATTATTGGTGACGATAGTCATATAATACTCGTTATTGTATTACACCCCCACCCCTTTCTGCCAAAAATAGTCCCAAACCAAAATAAAACAGAAAGAATTCAACAGAGGAAACAAACAAAAAAGTAAGCAAACAGAATCGACAGCGTCCACAACAACATCGACAACAACGACAACAAAATAGCAACCACATAATAACAATAACTCCAACAACAACAACAACACTACCTCCTACACCACCGCCACCACCACCACCAACAACAACATCAACAACAACAAAAAACAACAACAACAACGCCACCACCACGACCACCACCAACAACAACACCTCTAAGTATCATATCGTTCTGTGGGTGGTTGGCAGGTGCTCTGGTCTGTTTTGCTCTTTCTTTCCTATCAAACTTCTATCGTCCTTATCTCTCCTCCTTCTTTTTTGAGTATGTTACTCTCTTGTAACACCTCTATTCTTCGGCACTTATATGACCTTTTTGTGTTGCAAGTGCAGTAAAACTCTTACTAAAACTAAAACTAAACAACAACAAAAACAACGCCACCACCATTACTACCACCACCATTACCACCACCACCAACACATCTAAGTATCTTCAAAGTAATATCATTCTGTATATCTCTCCCCCTCCTCCTCAGAGCGGCCTCGTTGCGACCCATGACGAGGACGAGCACAAGTATCTCTGCAACACCAACCAGCTGGAGAGCTTCTCCAACATCGTGGGCATGATGCCCATGCTGAGGGAGCCGGTCAGTGTGTTCACTGGCCTCAGAGTCACGTCCTTGGCCGTCACGGTGGTCAACGAGTTCACCGTAGCTTTTGTCGGGACGGAAGACGGGAGGATCAAAAAGGTAAGTAATAATGATGATAATAATAATAATAATGATAATAATAACAATAATAATATAATAATAATAATAATAATAATAATAATAATGATAAAGATAATAATAATAATAACAATGGTAATAATAATAATAATAATAATAATAATAATAATAATAATAATAATAATAATAGATTGTATTTATATAGCGCTCTATCCCATAGTACTAGTATAAGCTCTGAGCGCTTTACACCATTCACATAATCATTCACAGAAGCAAAAATATTTCACAGAAACAAGAAAAAACCAAAACCAGTTCAACCACCGAACCACTTAAAGAAGAACTTTCACAACCGTTGATAAACTATACACGGAAGGACTGTGAAAAAAATGTATAATATATATTATGTACACCGTTGTTTAAACGGTGTCGAATATCCTGTGCCCATTGGGGGATCGGGTCTGGTCTGGTCGGGGCGGTTTGCTTGCCACATTGAGGACGCAAAGCGGCTCTCGTGGCATAAGCCGATCGCGCCCGTTTGTTTTCAGGCGACGAGTGTGGCGATCGCCCCCTACCCGACCCGACCCGACCCGACCCGACCCCATCCTCTGTGGGCTCCCCGTATATCACAAACCGATCGCAACATTGTGGAATCTTACATTGCGTATTATTTTTTAAGGGTAACGTTCTGGACATTTACGGGCAAGAATTCTTTTTAAAAAAAGTAACATTCTGGAAACTTTTGTACAAGTCTTCTAAAATTTACGTACGAGTCCCTCTTAATAATGGTAGCGTTTTGGATATGTAGGTACAAGGGCCAATATAATAACTCGTAACGGAAGACGTAACCGTGACAACCGTCGTAAATCAAAGCAATCTGTTAGTTTCCGCAATCAAAGGAGACAAATCATGAACAATTTCGACCGTTTCTCTCCCCCCTCAGCTTGTTTTGGCCACAGGCAACCGGGCTGTGGAGTACTCAGAGGTCGCGGTCTTCAAAGGTCAACGGATTTTGCCGGATATGAGATTTGACGCCAAGGAAGAGAACTTGTACGTGATGACAGAGACAAACGTGAGTATTCGCCCTTGTTCTGTCGAGTCGATGCATTTCTGAAGATCACACTGGCCAATGTAATTCCAGTGATGCGAACCTGCGGTGTCTGTATTTTTCTTGTTTGTGTTTGTTTGTTTTTCTGTGTGTACGAGTATAGTTTCACGGAAACGGTGATTTGTGTTTCTGTCCATATAATAAATTTGTCTGCCCATCCATTTGTATCTTGTGTATTTGTGTACATGTCGATCGGTTTGTCTGTGGAAGAACGTTGTTTATCACTCCTCCGTGTTTAAAACTGTTTCCCAGTCTTTGGTCAGTTCGCGCTAACGAAGTACTGAGAATTTGTACATGTTATTTCCCGCACTCCTGCTCGCTCTCAGTTTCTGCCTCTCTCTGTCTCTCTATCTGTCTCTCTGTTTGTCTCTCTTGATTCTCGCTCTGCCCATCTCTCTGTTTCTCTCTCTCTCTCTTTCTCTCTCTTTCTCTCTCTCTCTCTCTCTCTCTCTCTCTCTCTCTCTCTCTCTCTC